ACTAGACTGGTTTAAATCAGAACTTTGGGGATTCCTTGCTGGCGGTACTGCGGTAACCGCACCTAGAAACTGCTTAATTTGACTACAAGCAATTATACATTTGTCACTGTATTCTTCGCTTATACTATAATCTTCTTCAATTAAGTTAACATCAATTAACTCTTGTATTTCATCATCAAGCGTTCTCAAATTATTTTTCTTTTCGGTTAATAATTCAAACAATTCTCGTAATTCTTTAATCAAATTTTCCTCCCCTTCAATTTTTAATTTATCTTCAATCACTTTAATTAACCTAGTAACAGACGATCTCAATGTGAAACGTTTACGTTTCAATCTATCTAACTTTTCTTCCATTTTATTTAATTTAAATACACCCACGACAGCAATAATAAATACTTACTAATGTACTACAAATAATCACTAAATAATTAATTTAAGATTTCCCTACCTTTATTTGGAATTCCATTGTCACTTGAATATGAAATATCCATTGAAATCGAAACACTTGGATCGAACACCTAAAATCTTCACAAAGCCTTAATTCCTTACGCCGATGCACCATAATAATTATTTTGTGCATCTCCAAATCAGATGATGGTGGTTCAGTGGGTTTACTAATTTTAACACTTTCACATTTTAAACAATATTTTAATTACTATATACAGAGCGTATTCTTAGGCCGCCGCCTTCAACATGAACAAACTTTATTCTCTCAACTAAGTGAGCAACAGCGCCCTCTAGCCTTTTTCTTCAAATTACACAACAGTCACAAAAAGAACTTGATTTCTAGTCAACTGAGTTAAGAGCATAAACCACCTGTAGAACATTTGTATCAGGGCAAACTGTATGTAGAAAACTTAATAAAAAGACCTTAATGCAAAAATAAATAAGTAAATAAAAGAAAAGGCAAATACTTTTCATTTCATTGACCACATAATAACAGAAAGCCTACTTAAATTAGTGCAGAAAACACCAGAGCTGGAATCTACAACAATAGGGTTACATTCAGCTTAGTGGCAAACTGTGGTTCCGCAAAACATCTTATTCTGAACCTCTGAGAAAAGCCAGAAACATGAGATATCTCTCCAACATACGAGAAAGTGATTATTAAGGAAATGCTAACTATTAACATATAACTTTCCCCACAGAATAAATATATATTTTGTAATACATAAAAAATTATGTAATTTCTTTATAACCACTTACAGATCATTAATGAGGACGTTTAAGTAGTGAGATGAACAATATACATATTCTGTATTTGGCTGAATAGCTTTTATCTTTTGCTGAGGACCATTATACATATGACTCAAATAACTTAAGTACCATCATATCCTTGTCCATAACCCATTTTAATTGAAATTTTGTCTTCATTTAAGAAATTGAGAATGAGTTTTTTGAATAATCGTTTGCAGCATATAAGCTAAGAAATGTTTCTTTAATTTTAAAATTTATGAATTCTGAATTTTCATTTCTTGCAGTATTAACATGTCTTAAAATGATGTTCATTTGATCTGTCTTTGATATAGATTGAGTAGCATCTAATAATAAAAAATGAATAAAGGATCCGTATATCTGGTACAGTAAAATTTATTCTACATTATGAACAGCACACTGAATAAATTCATTTTGGAATGTAGTGCTAAAATATCTCCACATCTTGCTGGCATTTTTAAAGCTTATTTCATAACGTTGTCATATTTACTTAGCAATTCAACTTGCGATAAAAGAACTCCCATTATAATTAGTGTTTCTATCTTTACTATGCCCACAAAAAGCGAATGCATATTTTGACAGCATAAGTGTTCTAAAACCATTTTTCAAAAATTTTCTTTATATCGAATTCGTTCTTCAAGGCCTTTATCAATAGTCAGATTTTTCCCCATGTTTTATATACAAAGCTTGCCTCTAAATGGGATTTAAAGAACACTGAGTATTAGTTCTTGCCATTAAAATTTTCCTATTTCTAATACCTAAATGCCAGCTACTATCAGAATTAGAAAACAACTAACAAGCTTTGCAGAATGCAGCTTCTGTTAATTTAGCATAATGAAACCAGTGTTGTGGCACTTGTCTGTACTTCATCGTGGATGTATGATACACTGCACTAAAATGCCTGCTTCCTTGTTTAATGTCTTTTGGGAAAGAAGCCATGTAAGTCTTCTCATGTCATAAATAGTATTTTTTTTACATAATTATCTGTATCTACTGATGTGCACATGTCTGTTTCCTCTGTATGCTTACTAGCAGAGGTGCCAAGAATATAATTTATTTTTTGTTCAGGCTGTTTAACCTTACTGGCAGAGATGATAACTACTGAAGAATCTTTTTTTTGGGTATGATATTTTAATAGCAAAGTTGTCTAATTTTAAGAGTTTTTCAATTATTTATTTATTTATTATTGTCTAATTTTGTGCCCTTTTGCTTTCTTCTGCTTTTTCTTTCTTTTCTTTACATTTTTGGGCTGCTTTCTTTTGTTTTTCCTTATCCATGTTAACTAATAATACATATAGTATTTTGTTAGGTGTCATAATTATTTTAATCTTTCTTACCTTCAGATTTCATTTTCCAGCCAACAGCTAATAAAACAATTCTTAAGAGTCTGCAGAATTAAATATAGTACACAGACTACTAGGGGCATTTAGTTGCTCTTGTTGCCTCTTTCCTCAAATGTGCATGTGCAATCTAACCCAAATTAGCCTTTTTGGTTTGTCATAATGTTTTGCTATGCTTTAATACCTTTTTATGCTCAAATATAAAAAACACAGTACAAACAAATACAAAATTATTATCCCCAACTAAACAGGCTAGATGTTTTGGTTAGATTATTGTTCATGCGCATTTTATGACAGTTCTACTATACTGCAAACAGGTCGATGCATGTAATCAAAAGAATTCATTATGCAGCACTGAAATTAAGAACAAATAAATAGACTGCTGTTGCATTCAATTTTGTTTCTAATTTTTATGTTATTCAATCTGTGTTATGTTTCTAATATTTATGTTTATGAAATATCAAAGATGATATAAAAAAACTTTTCAATTAATAACGTAATTTATTCACAGAATTTAAAATCAAACCCATATGTATAAAATATCAAAGATGGAATTGGCAACAAATTTATTAATTTATTATTACTTTTCGAATATGCCAAAAATAAAAAAGTAGTGGTTCCTTAAACATGTGAGCCCTTAGGCAATGCCTAATCTAGCCAATCTATAGCTATGCCACTGGACAGACATTCCAGACATTTTATTATTATATGGATGGAGCAAAACATATGCAGTAAGCCTGAAAGTCTTTGACACAAATTTGGTGAAATTATGGCATGGGCAAACATTATTTTGAAAGACTACCCATTTTTATCACTCTAACTATGAATGCTAAAATAAACAGTGATCAAATTCATGATCCTATGTCAAGTTATTTAGGGATGTAACTGGTAATAGCCTCCTCATAATAGACAATAATGCTTGTTCTCATCATGCTCTACTAGTGAGCAATTATCTTGAATATGAAACAATCTAGAGATACAGCCCACATGTTTTCCAGATTTAAATCTCATAGAACATATGTGGATGCCCTAAGATGCTGACTAAATCACTGCAGCCTTCATCTGAACTTGCACCCTGTGGGAACCCCTAAGTGCTCTTCATCATAAGACTACTGGGATTAATGGACAATTTGAAAAAATTGCCATAAAGTATGCATTTTACTCAGGGATGACCCCCACATCTTATTAATTTGTTTTTCTATGTATCACTGAAGAGACATAACACTGATATTTCCCAACCCCAATTTATGTCACATTTCCTATATTCTTATTTAAATTTAATTTTTGCAGAAATAGGCAGTTCTGCATCTTGAAGATACACAGTGCGTGGCAAAACAATGATATCGTTCAAGTTCCTTATTTTTAGCAGCAAAATTATTCAAATTACCTTAGGTTTTACAGCTGTTCCTTTAAATTTTTCCCACTAGTATAGAATGTATTTCTTATTTTTTACACTGTCTGGAGTTTTTATTGAAGTCTCATTTACACTCAGTTACAGTTATTATTTAATCTGTTAGCAATTCAAAATCAGCTTAATCAGGTCATCTGCTAACACTGAGGATATGAATGAATTATCAGTTTCACATTATTCCCTTTACTTTTGTGTAGCTCCATACATCTTAGCCCTACGTACTCCATCTATCTGAGCCCTTGAAGTAAGCAACAACATTTCAGAACATATATTCTGTTTATAAATTGGCATTAACCTGAAATTTTTGGCATGTAGTTGACTGAAATTATGTGAATGGCAAAATGATATCTTGTTTTACAGAGAAATATGTGTTACAGATCCTGATGGTATATTTTTTAAATATTAACATACTATTTAAGTTAAGAAACTTTTTCCTATAAAGAATGCACATTTTTAAAGATTATTCTTAATGATGCTTAAAAAATAAAAGACACTGTAAGACTTTAATGAAATTATTTAATTTGGGGGAAAAGTTTTATAATTATTCACTTGTTTAGTTTTCATAATGATTACAAATATTATTATTTTCTGGAAATTCATGACTTTTTTTTTTTATTAAATTTGGTGAGTCAATTAAATAAATTAATTTTTTTGTATTATTTATTAATTATATGTAATATTTTTTCAAATTATGAAACTAAATCGGTTTATATGAGGTTTACCTAACTGCATTTTATCATCAGCAGTACAGTTACTTCTGCTTGTGAGATGTAGAGTAATATTTTTGACCAAGAACACTTAAACTATGCTTTCATTGGATGATTTCTTAATTTTCTAATTTGGGAACAAATATTATTTACTATACCTCTGATTTAAAATTTATGTCTACTAACATTCAAAATGTTCTTTTTTTATTCATTTTCTTTTTCCATATTTGGGTGTGTAAATATGCAAATGATCTTTTATTACAATTTTAAAAATTTGAAATAATTTTATCTTGATTAATGCGCTAATAAAAAATATTTTTCTTTTAGGCTTCCTTTGACAAAACTGATTGTTTCTTACGAACTGTTCTCCACCTTGCAGCTGAAGCTGGAAATTTAAATTCTATTCAATATTTTGTAAAACACAAAAACATGCATGTTAATTGCCAAACACTGGATGGTCTCACTCCTCTTCATTATGCTGCTAAAGTTAGTTTTATTTAAATAAATTTAACAAGTGTTACATCCTAAGTAAATCTATAGATGTTTTGTAATGTTACTTACATATGAGGAATTCCATGTCTGAAGAAGGAATTGCAACCAAACTTAAATTAATAGTTGTGAAGATTTTCTGAAGATTTTCAGGACTTTAACAGCTGAAATGTTTTAAAATAAATTCTGTATTTTCTGATTATCTATATCTCCTTCTCCCTCCATAAAGGCAAGAACTCGTTGGAAACTAATTTTTCGCTAAGTTAATCTGTGAAAAACAGCTTAGCAGCACACTAAGAATCACATAAAAGAGCAATGATTCACTAAAATCAACAAAGCTAGAAATATCCCTAGTAACCTATTACCTTTTTTAAGAAATCCTTACATGATTTTTTTTTTTCTACCGGTCCTCTGTTCCTGTACATAGTGATCTATTTCCAGTTAACATCAAAGCATTGCACAAATTCCATTGCTTGCAAATTTCAATTGATAAAATTTGATTGTTTAAATATACAACTACTTGGAATGTGAATTTTTGCATTCTATACTGTTGGGTAAAGAGCCATATTTTTGAAGAATTGTAATGCTTTCTTTTTCATAAGTCAGCAAACTTCTACAGTCCCATTCATTAGAAGAGGGAAAAAGTATATTCAATTAAATATAAACACTAATCAGAAAAATGACCATCAAATTGAAAGTCGAAATCCGCATTAGTGTGCTGTAGGAACACACATACCTGGGTTGCCACACAAATACATTTTGTAATGTCATGGCTTGCCTATTTTGGTGACATAGTACATTGACTCATGAATACATTTCAGGTGGGTCTGAATAATTTGAAAGAACCAAAAATTCTTTGATCTACTTAAATCAAAAAATGGTCCAGTTTATTTTCAGCCAAATTCATTAGCTGAAGCATTAAATATCGATGAATATATAATTCTGAATTTAATGATTTTGTTCAAGAGTTGTAAATTATTCCAGTGAACATTAATATTAATAATAATAGATGTAGTAACACAAAAATTTTCAGTCTTAATTTATCACCAGTATCGTGTAATTTTAGTATCATTTATGTATATAAAGCACTTTTATGAGGATTTTAATTCATCATTCAACAGAACTATTAAAAAAAAATAAAAGTCTTGATTGAAATTTCTGCCTTCATACAAGAGTCTATTTTTTTTTTTTTTTTTTTTTAATATTTAACGTAAAATTAATTCATTCTTTTTAATCTGCATGAATCTTAGTTATTTTAAGTCCTAATTTTAATTGCTCCTGTAGCATAACTCTTGTGTTGTGAAATATATTTCATTCCAAAATTTTTTGCAGAGTACTTTTTGTTTGTTTGTTTTTATTTGATTTTCTCATATTTAATGTTAATTTTATATTAACTGATTTCTGATTGTTAAATTCCATATCAGAGTATTTTTAATTTATTTCTTATCTATCCAAATGAATTAAATATTTATGAATATGAATATTTTAAATTATTATTTACCATTTGTTAAAATTTCATTAAATTTCACTGAATAGTTTTTGAGGATTCATTTTGAACCTTGTGTATATGTAAAGTTAACCTTGTAACATTGTATACTTTATAGTACTAGCATCATACATAAATGATATTTCTTTTCATTTAAAAGGAAAAGCAGGGTGAATGTGTAAAGTTGTTGTTGCAATTAGGAGCTGATTGCACTTTAAAAGATAAAAATGAACGTACAGGTATTTGTTCTTTTGCATTCTGTGTCCTTTTCTGAGTCTAAAACATATTTCAGTTTAGTTTTTATTTTGTTTATATGTGAGCATTTAAAACTATCATTGTATTATTTAGTAAAAAGTTTTTGTGCATTTTTTGTTAGAAACATTCAAACTGAATTAATGATTCATTTAAACTGAATTCATAAATACGTTCAGAAGTCAAACAACAAAAATCAGCATTGTATTTTCAAAATGACTTCTGAATTAGAATTTGTTCGGTGTGTTATTGTGTCTTAATCATAAATACGTGTCCAAAACATAAAGATGAACATCATTATACAAAGATATCGCTACATAATCAACTTCTCATGATTTGCATGATTAATACACACAATAAAAAGCCAGTGAATATGCTAATTTCCAATTTTTGCACTTATGGATTTTATGAGAACTCAAAAACAGGTGAGAAGGAAATGAATGCTACTAGTGAACTGCATTTATCAGAAATTCTTAGCATGAAAGAATTAATCTATTAATATTAAAATAGTCATGTTTTAAAGACATTGTTTTGTTCATACAGTATGTGGAAGCTTTGGAAGCTTTACAATCACGAGAGTTGTAAAGGACTTTGGAATTGCACAGAAGTGTGTCTGTGTGATTCCAAACTACTGGTGTTTCCCGGTTTAGATGCAGTGCATTTGGAAGATGAAGAGCGTATTTAGTATTAGGAACTGATGCTACGTGGTCAGCCAACTTGATTACCTCTGTAACAATAAAAGAAGAAGGATATTCTGCCAATCTGTGACTATATGTTTGAAGGCCAATCATCTATTCAGAGATCAGTATAAAAGGTTTTTGAAATGGTGTCAGATCTACTGAAATTGGATGCAGCAATAAATGTCTTGCAGTCTTGTAAAAGTTGATTCAGTTTGAAATCAGATTGCAAGCATCAATTCATGTGGCATGAAAAGAGTAAAGATTACTAACTGTAAAGTATGCAAGAAAAGTATCACTGTTGTGGTATTGGGATAATGATGTGGCATTATGATTGATTGGTATTCATGTCTCATAGAACCAGAGATGTAAGAAATCTCCTGGAGAAGAAAGATATGTATTCAATTGACTGGCCTCTATTTTCTCCAAATTTCATCTTCAATAAGTGTGTATAGGATATTAAGAATCATAGTTCACAGTTCTTTGCTGGAAAATATATTGAGGCCTAATCCATGTTGTGAAGAAGGAATAAAATGGTCTGCCATGGGATTTCCTAAATTGCTTGGTCGTGCACATGCCATGGCACTATGATTGCTGCATCAGTGTTCAATATGAGCAAGTTTTCCTTTCAGAAATCGGATTGCCTAGACTTTGATAAATACGTTTCATCCGTCCTTCACCTATTACCACTGTATTTGTAATTTCTGTGCAAAAGACTTACTGTCATTGTTTTGATTTGCTATTTGGAACAATTTATTGGTTATTATCTTCCATTATACTGGGAAATAAATAGCTTGCTATATTTGTTTCCATTCATTTGCAATTTCTGTACACATGCAATTGCATCACTTATCCTTAAATTTTTTATATTTTTGTAACTTGAGGTTAAGATGATATATTTTATTCTATGTGCATTGCTATGAATATAAGTCTGTCTTTACAGTATACCAAAGTTAGTAAAATATAAAATACCAAATTTTCAACACATTTTTGACATGTTTGCTGTAAGTCTTTTGTAGGTGCATGATGTGATATTACCATAATTAAGTAACCATGTTCCAGCACATGGTGAAGTGTATGTTAATACTTTGTTTTCATGTTAGTCAGCATTAGCATTGTGTCTTAGGCTTGATTAGTTGTATAGGCACGGTAATAAATCTAATGAAGTCAACTTTTTTTTTTTGTTTGTTTTTGATTTCACATTTTACACTTAATTTTTTTTTTCAAATTAAAAAAAAAAAGTATGAGCGAACGCAAATGATAATTTGCCAAGGTCATCTAATCCTAAATGAGCAAGATATGATAAAAAAAGTCCTTTAATAGATAATGAAGAAATTTCAATGCAACAAGAATCTGTTGATATAGAAAATATAATTTGGAAAAATGAGTTTAACATCTATGAAGTCTCATAAATTAGGGAAGAGGGATCTGATAAATTTGTGCAAATCTGCCTTTGCGGCAAATGCATTAAGTTGTAATTTTCGTACTGCTAAAGAAAGATATTTTTTACCATGCACTTTTGTAAAATAAATGGTAGTTGCTTGCATTAATTTTTTTTTAAATTGTTAAAAAATCATAGTGCAATAGAATATTATTACTGTGTATCTTGTATAAATACAAATAAGAATATTTAGAATATGATTGAACTAGATATAAAATGTTAGGTAGGTAGGTAGTGGTGAATTTTCTGTTGCAAAAGTTCTGGGATTATGTGCAACGAATACATGTTGGATATGCCATTACAAATTCAGTAAAGGCATACTTTTAAGATAGACACAAGTTTAAATCAACACCATAAAAAGTGATAAAATGGTAAATGTTGAGGTAATGATATATACGAAGCAGGAGTAAAGTCAGAAACATGAGATACATTAAAATGTATGTTATTAAGATAAAAATAAAACGTGTACAAAATCAAATTAAATAATAAAAACCTGTCTCATTCAGGTACTGAAACAAGTTGTCATTTGCCTCTTTTCCGATTATACGGTCAAGAGGCAAGTCACAGTTGCTAAAATGCTTCAATCCTAAATATAGAAAGACTTGATTTTATGCATGAAAGGAAGAGATTGTGTACCCTGTTTTAAACGTATTAAGACATTTTGGACCACAGTATCTGCTTGCACATACCTACATATCAAATGCATACAAAACCTTGTTGTATTCCATTCTAGTTATGACTTTCAGATTGAAGGTTCTCATGTTTCATTCAGCTGCGTCTTAAAAAAATTTAAAAGGTAGCTTTGTGCATTCTGAAGGAAATTGTCTAATTCACTGAAATAGTTTTTTAATGCTAGGTGTTCATTTTATGTTGTGCATGTTTGGATATTTTCCAATTAACACATAGCTGACTATGATTGCTTTTTGCCCTCCACTTTTTGTGAGATATATATTGATATCATGTAAATTACAGTACAAATTTATTATAATTTTTAGAATGTAAAAATGCCATGAAATTCTAAGAGAGGAAAATTTTTACATGGGATATAGTAGTCATTTAATACTGGCTATGAATTTCTTGTTCTCCAAGATTGAGAGATATGGCTTATGTAAACTTGCTCTTCATGTTGCATCCATGCTAGTTTGATTATGGTTATGAATAAGATATTTTAAGTTGCTAACTCTATTAGTAATTAAAATTAATGTATATTCTATACATTAGTTCTGTGTTCTATCATTAATTCTATGTAAAATATTATAATTTAAAAATATTCATTTATAGAAGTTTTATCAAGCATAAATTTATTTATTTATTATAAAATAATATTTGTAAGTTATAGCAAGTAATGTTAAACTTAACATGCTAACCAAATCACAAAAGTACATTAAGGAATATGTAAAAATTTCTTATAAAATTATAGCATTATAATGTTTCAAGATGTGAGTTAAAATTCTTAAAGAAAAAAAAGTGTGAGTAATAAAGCTTTCTTCCCTCATTTGGGTGTTATATATAATTTATTAAGCATAACTTCTTGAGGTCTTAGATTGTAAATTTTGATGTATTTAACTGCTTTTTTTTTTTTTTACCCTTCTAGATTTGAATTATATGGAATCTTTAGCTTATAGGATTTTGTGTTTTCTTTACACATGTATATAGTTTATATCAGCTTTCATTTCAAATCAGTGAATGGTGTATTTCCAATGTATGCTTTCATCATTTGAACTTCAGCATAGTAAGAGGATGCTACAGATATAAAAGATGTGCTCATGCATTGTATTCACTTAATAATTTTTAATACATTTGTGCAGTCTGTTTCATTCGTACTAGGGAATAATAGAAGTAAAATAATAAAGAATCCTTTTATGATTGAAATTAACATATGCTTTTACTATGATTTATTTATGTTTAAAAATATGTGCTATCACTTAAGATAAAATCTAATTTATTTAGGAATGTTTTCCAAATAGTGTAAGTTAATTAATCAGAATGGAAACAGGTTTTTTTACTTTTAGAGATTATTTTTTATACATGCTTCTTCTTCAGTTTGATCAGTAAATGTTCTCTTTCATAGATATCCTAAAACAAAAAACTGAAGTAGATATTTTTAATCAATAAAACTGAGTAATAATATATATTATACCATAATCACTTTTCTCTTTAAAAAAAGAAAGAAAGAAAAAGAAAAAAAAATCGTGCATGCTTTTTTTTTTCTAATAATTTATGACATGATCATTCACATTTCTTCTCTAAAAATACTTTTAAAAATCATCTCGAATGATTTTTTTTCTAAAAATAATTTGTTTCACTGCATTTTAAATTGAAATAAAATTGTCTAATACATTTAATAATTTTTATCTGACTGTATTCTCTTTGATTAAAAAAATTTTCAGTTTTCTGCTTCATATGTACCAAATGATAAATTGAAACCTGGTTTATGGTATATCGAATTATTAATTTTATCTCTTTTTAATAACTGCAAGTATATTTTTATGTGAAGTTATCCTGGAAAAGAAGCATTTATTGTATTCATTTAGTGTAGTTGTAAATTTAAAAAGAATTTAGTTATTATTCTAATAAAATGGCAGTAATTTGTATTATTTCCAAATAATAAATTCCACAGTATTAATATCACTAACATCCTATACATGTAACCTCCAAATAATAAATTCCACAGTATTAATATCACTAACATCCTATACATGTAACCTGTTAGATTTAATTGGAGAATGAGGAGTAAAAAAATTCCACAATACAAAATAATGAAATTCTATTAATAATGAGAAATATCTCCAGAAAGTTAAGAATTTTTATTCTGTAAAATATTATTCATAGTTCTGTTGAAATCATAAATCATGATTTTCTTTACGAAATTTTAGATTGATAACAGGAGAATTAAAAATAGCTTATGCTTTTACAAACATTTCTTAGAAAATAAACTAAGATGTTTTTGTTATATTATTATTAATAATTTAAATTATAATAATTAAAAAGAAACTACACATTGAGATATTTAATTTAAGATTTGTCTAATGATTTCTGTTATATTAATTAACTGGGTATTTTGGATTTAAAGACTAATCTTGAATATAGAATTTTTTTTACAACTATGTAAATATTAATTACAAGCAAAGCTTCCCTTTAACATTTTACTAATAAAGGTTTTCAAGAGTATTTCCCATACATTACATTTTAGTGAATTAAGTATTTAAGACAGTGTGATGTTAAAAATATTGCAGAATTTCATTTGTAAGTAATTCAAAATAATTGTGAATGAAAATTTATCAAGTAGAATAGGAAAAATTATGTAATTGCATTAGTTTATTATAGACAGAAAATGAAAGCTTTTATGTTATATTTTTACCTATTACAATACTTAGCAGTGCATCATATGCTAACATTACTAAAAAATAAGCTTATTTTAATAATATCTATTTTTATACATGTATTAACTGGAATTGTTAGCACTGTTTATACATGTTTCCATATATACCATATACAAGTATATTATTCCCCTCTTCTGTTTTAGCTGCAGCGTTTGGATGTAAAGAAGAAATTAATGCTTTTTTTGGAAGGTACCTGACTGATACCAACTACTGAATCTTCTGTTTAATATGATTGCAAAATCGTATCCATTTACATTCTTCTTCATAAAAAGGAAATACTAACCTGTTTACCATGTTGTGGACAACGGTGATATCAGTTTGAAACTGTACATTCTTGACTCATAGGGAAAATGTTGATTTTTACAGATTTACCATCACTCATTGTTTTGTTTACATTTAATAAAAAGTTATTTTTATGTCAGTCAAGTCAATAAAAAGTTTTATTCCTTTTCCAGTTCATTTTTATCTTGTGTACTGCTTTGATCAGATACTATAGGACTATTTGTTGTGTCCGGTCTACCGAAGGGAAAACCGCTGCCAAATACATTCCAGAAATCGCTAGTTAAGAACGGATTCTTCGACATTTGTTCTTGGAGAGCTTTAATCTGCTCACGCATCTCATCGATTTGCTCAAAAAAAGTCTCTAGTCCTTTCTGGATTTCCGTTTTTAACGTAGTATTGTCGAATGATAAATTTTGAACAAAGAGATCATTGAAAGCTTTATCCGCTGTGCTGCAGATGCCATCATCAACGTCCGTCGAACTTTCTGTGAACACTTTTCCCTGGTATAAAAACTGATTGTCAGGTGAGCAGGCAAACCATGGCGATCCATTTTTTGTACAGTTAGTACCATCGGAATCTGATGCGCAGAAAACGCGGTAATAGCCAGACGGATCTTCAAAGGTTATTGCCAACATAGTCATTCCAGCCCCATCTTGGGGATATTTCATATTATTGCACCACTGTATCATTTGGTTTAGACATTGTTCCTTATCTTTCGGTATCGTAACTTCTTTATCTTGAGCATCTGAAGTCGATAAGCAAACAAAAATTGCGAGCACAAAATACGTAAGCATTGTGAACGATGCGCTTGACTATGATGGCGCTTGACTATGATGGCCTTAAAGCACTCTGTGTCTTTTCCACTGTAATGCAGTATTTCCTCGATAGTATTAACTCCCCAAATCAGATATTTTCTAGGTAGCAAAAGCCGGCTGGGAACTTTTCTAAACACGTGCCGGTAAAAAACGCATTATATACGCAACATACTGACGTCAGTACCTGACCATGAATATTTGCTTCATCTTTTTTTTCTTTTGGCTCAGTCATCCGCTTTCACTGATATGTCGCAATATCACTAATAACGAGTTTCCAGAAGGACAAAAAGTCGCACTGCTAAAGGTATACGTGAATAAAATAAGAATTAAATCATGCGGAAAGAACGTTCTGTGGAAAAGCTGCGTATTTCTCTATTGTGTTTCTAGCCTAAAATACGCACATGTGTTTCTTTTGAACACGTGTTCCATCAACAGGTGATTGTCATGAAAGAATGATTATTTCAAAATTTGGAGTATAGAAGAAATAAAATAAAAAATGCGAACGTTCGAATCTGTGCAAGCGCATCTCCGTAGCTCATGGTGACTTAATAAATTCATCTTGCGGGACATTTACGGCAGAACAGTTATTATTCGTGTTAAAAATACCGTGACGAAGTGGCCCTTTCATCGGTTAATGTAAATCGAGTATGACGTTTTTTAACATGTATTTTTTATTCAGTCATCAATCAAAAACGTAACCTTTTCGGTCAGTCTTTTCGTGAACAATTGTAGAACTTTTGCTACTGTGTGTAAGCGAACTTGTTGAATCAGTGACACCAGAATTAGCCATCTTGATTTTTTTTTTTTTTTTTTAACTTATTTATTCTCAGTAACATTTTGATGAGAAATATCTTCAAGGTGTTGTTATTCTTATTTCGGTTTTTGATAAAAACGCCTGAACAGTACGTAGAGATTATTTCCAATAGATGGTAGTTAAGATGTTTTATCTTAATTAATATAAAATTTCTTTGCTTCTCACAGAATTTTAAAAAAGCGTATTATCTGACTTCATGACAATATAGTATTGTTTTATGTCTTAAATGTCATTTGGAAAGTAGCTTTCTTACAAAAGATCGACTGCAATTTTCTAATATGTATCCACTATTATTTGCATCTAAAATAAATTCTATTAATTTTGACGCAGTTTTTGTAGTAAAGTACAGACTGCAAGCCTCTACATGCAGTGGCGGATTTATGAAGTGTTGGGGTGCCGCTCATGAATTTTTCAGAAGCCCCTTTTTCTTTAAATATGCATGAGTTTCAGTTTTAAAGAATAATGTATGATCTGGGAGCCACCTGGAGCATCAGGTTGTTCGACATGCGCGACCCCATAAATTAACTTCTGCATCACTATATGCATTTGCCGTCCGATCTCTTACGAGTTCAAAATTCTGCTACCCTGCACCTCCCTAAATTCTAAAAATTTCGTCGCTTCTAAATTCTGCTGCCCAGTATCTCCCTTAAATTCTAAAAATTTTATCCTTAAATTTTGCAGTTCGTTATTTATCTAAATTGTAAACAATTTGCTACGAGGCGGACCACCCCGGCGCTGGCCCCGGAACTGTATATATGTGAGATATAAAAGTAAATTACCAACTTAAGCAATAGCCCTTTTAATTTGGTTATGACGCCTTCTTGTCATTGAATCATACTTCTGGAATTGAAGTGCATCATCCCAAAAGTAATCCGTCTATGTAATCATACCTGCAATGTCATGAAATAACAGTTAATTAAATAATTGTGTGTTATAAATACCACTGCCACTAACGGCGCATCCCGTTTTTTCTTCTTCGCTCGCTGCTGCTTAGCCTCTGCTAGTCCATTTGGCTAAAAAGTGTAATCAGTATAAAATTGTATGATGCATCCATATTGATGATGTGTAATGAAAAAGAATATTTTTCTTAAAAATTATGTTATAAGGAATAAAATTATTACGGCTATGTCTGTCGTCAAGTGTCATTTTTTTGATTGCGCAGTAATACCTCTCCAAGTTATTACAACGCAAAGAGCTATTCTCCAGTCATTCCATTACGTATATATGAGATAAAAAATATATAAATCAAAATTCTAACTTAGGTTATTTGTAACTCTCTTGGCTTTCCAATTTATTTATTCATTTGTCCGTAAAAATAGTAATTGTTTAATAAACAACAAAAATAATTAAAGATAATAAATGTCTCTAACCTACGTCATCGTTGTCATATGATTCTTACATAACGTTCCAGCTAATAATAATTTCCAATTTCGGAACCGAAACTTATAATTAGCCAATGGGAATAAATCTTAGTAAAGTTCAAATTCCAGTTCTATAAATCGTATACACTGACTACCAATAAGTATTTGGACACCTATGCAAATGACGATATCTGCGGTCCCAAGGTACGCCACGGACTCCGCCGGTATATATCGTGTAGGAAACAACATCGGCTTTAGTCGCATGCAAGATGCCTCGCAGTTCGGAGCTCTCTGATTTCGAGAAAGGTATAATTATCGGGTATCACAAATGTGGCCGATCCTTAAGGGACATATCTAGCGATCTGAAGTACCCAATATCGACAGTGGCCTATGTGATTAAGAAGTGGAAGGTGAGCGGTGATTGTCGGAATGTGCCCCGAGTCGGCAGACCAACGAAACTGGGAGATAGAGACCGACGAGAGTGCTGTTCAGAGAAATTCGGAAGAAAACCGCACCCAACCGATAGCCCTCATCCGCGAGGAGTTTTCAACAGGCATCCGGGAGTATTGTTTCAATGAATACCATCCGTAAGGAAGCACATCTGCTTGGTTTTCATGGTCGTGCTGCTGCCCATAAGCCTTTGATCACAAAGTCCAACCGCGCTGCTCCGTTAATGTGGTGCAAAGCACATCGAAATTGGACCGTAGATCAGTGGAAACGGGTTCTTTGGAGTGACGAATCAAGGTTTACCCTTTACCGTTCGGATGGCAGGGTCTGGGTCTGGCGTCTACCTGGAGAACGTCTCCTGCCAGAATGCATTGTGCCAACAGTCAAGTTCGGCGAAGGTGGAATTATGGTCTGGGGGTGTTTCTCCTGGTATGGGCTGGGACCCTTGGTCCCCATTCATGGTAAGCTCAACTCCGATGCCTACTGCACTATTTTGGATGACAATGTGCTTCCTACGTTGTGGCAGTTTTACGGGTTGGACCCCTGTTACTTTCAGGACGACAATGCCAGTTGTCATGTTTCGACGTTTAACCAAGGCTTGGTATGGTGCCAATGGAGTTCATCGAATGGACTGGCCTGCCCAGAGTCCAGACCTGAACCCTATCGAGAACCTCTGGGACGAGTTGCATCGCCCAATTCAGGGGTGCACTACCCGTGCAAAATCGGTGAAGGAACTTCTATGTCTTCTCCAAGCCGAGTGGAAGAAAATACCACTAGCTGTCATACAAAGACTTGTGGAAAGTATGCCCCGGAGGGTCCACGCTGTAATTACCTCTCGTGGAGGCTCTACCAACTATTGATTTTGAATAAAGTTAGTTTTTCTTTTCTATCACAGGTGTCCAAATACTTATTGGTAGTCAGTGTATGATGTGCAAAGCATGAAATTGATACCTATATTTTGCGTTCTAATTTTAAAATATCTATTATTTATGATATATTCATAGGTAATTGTATCGTATATGCACTAAATTGTATGATATATCTGGAAAATTCTTTTGTTTTCTGGTGTCTCAATCATAGTAAAATAATTGCTTCGGAACGAATAATTTAAATCTTTCGTTTAAAAGAGGAACCAGGGAAGACTACATAAATTTCGTGAGGCGTGTATCTAATACAAAATAAAGTCATATAACTAAACTATATTTAAAAAGGTATGAATTCTTCCCTTATCCACTTCATTATTGCATATGAATACCAATCTTTTTGGAGAAAAGGCGTATGAACAGCTGAAATAGAATAATTAGTTTTCTCTATTTCATTTTGCCGAAAACAAAAACATTTGCGTAACTAAGATGCAAAATCGAAATTTTTCAAAACAACAAAGATTCAGCAACATAAACCCTCTGTGAAATAACTTTTTATGTTGATTTAGCTTATCGATCAACATTTAAATATTTTAATGCATTTGAGGAAACGCATATTGCAGCTGTGGACAAAGTGAAGTTATTTAACATGACAATCACCTAACCGCAACAGCGAATTTATCATATGGCTGCTAATATGTAGTTCATAATATGCAGTTAATGTTCCTTCATTTTTCTGTGCTCAGTAAATTTTAATTCTGGGAACTGCATTTTCTAAAATTTGAATTTCCTCTTAGTTGATTTATTAAAAGCTGAATTCCTCTTGAAAAATGTTAATATCATTGCAAGCATTTTTTATTCTGAGCAATCGAGTGCCAATAGTATTTAGAATAGTATTTTTTTTTTTTTTTTCGAAATATTAGAGTGCCCGTTAATGAGTTTAATACTATTGAAATTAAATTATCTTTTGTCATAAATTTTGATTTTTTTGTAGTCTAAAATATGCAAATTTAAGTAATTAATATTTTCTTGCTATTGGTTCGTCTTGTTAAGCATTAGGCAAGAGGGTCGCTATTAATTTTTCAGTTTTTTTATAGTCATTATTTCCTAAAATGTCGTCAACGCATCTGAAAATAAATGAAAAGTAAGCCCAATTTCTTGACTAACATCTTTTTTGGAATTAAAAATCTTTAGTAAAAATGTAAAGTTTACAAGAGAGCAGGACATGAATATGAGCCCATCGGGATTCCTGTGGTATTTTTATGCTTAAAAATAGTATTTTTAAATTGAATGTAATTACGAAATAATACACTTTTGAGGTAACTAGTAGAAAAATTTTCTTGTGTAACCACTGATTGTATCCCCGAAGACATATTAGGTAATGCTAAAAGACTATTGAAAATTTCGGTTAATGAGAGTGTTGTATCAGGATCTTCAGGATTTCCCAAATCGCAACAATTAACATTTCTTTACTTCAAGATCCTGAATAGTTGACAAAACTAGTACGTGATTCATAATCCAATTAGCCCACCAGCGGCCGAGCGGTAAAGACGCTGAACACTGGTAGTTCGGTCCGAGGCTCGAATCCCGCGAACGGGCTGGCTGCATGGGCGTTTTCGTGGTTTTCCCCATGTGTAACGTGTATACGAGCCAGTTTCCCTTAGAAAGTCCTCCACGAAAGGCATCCCTCCCCTCAGGCAGATAGACCTAGCGTGCTTTGCCATAATTAAATACACACACACACACCATAATCCAATTATACTTGTGCTTGACACCGGTTTTGAAATGAGGGTAAGAATTTGCTTAAGCTTTGCAGCAAATTTATAGTCAATTTCTCAGGTCCTTAAACCTTTCTTAGTACTACTCGGAACCTGAATTTTGTTGTCGATTGAAATTTAGGGAATGCACATAAGTTAGAAAAATAGTTGCAGTCGGCTGGTGCTGAAATTTTGACTGCGGTAAAATGCTCTAATTTTTTTTTTGGATGAAAGTCAAACTAAAATTGGTCTTTTTATGTGTACCAGTGTTCTGAAACTCTTTTTCAATTAGCTTGTAATAAATTCTTTCACTTTTCAAATAAAGTTAATTAAATTGATTTTTCAAATAATACTGAAATTATTACTGCTTTTGTTAATTTTTGTGATGATATATTTTTATCTGAGTGTTTTATTAGTAATTTCCATTCTGGATTGGTTATATTGTACTTTGCAAGACCTATTCTGAAAATTTTGTAGTAGGAATATTGGTTTTGTAGCTTGAAGAAACAGTGAATGAATGCATTCAGGTTATTTTTAAGATTTTGATGCAGAATTGCTTACTATCTTTAAAGACTGGTTTAAAATTTGTACCAAAATTCATTTTAATTGTCTTAAAGCTTGATCTTCTATTCTTATAATAATATGCCCAGCTTTTCTTGGGCTTAAAAATCAGCGGCCGAGCGGTAAAATCGCTGAACATTGGTAGTTCGGTCTTAGGTTGGAATCCCGCGATCGGGCTGGCTGCATGGGCGTTTTCGTGGTTTTCCCCATGTGTATACGAGCCAGTTTCCCTTAGAAAGTCCTCCACGAAGGCATCCCTGCCCTTAGGCAGATAGCCCTAGTGTCCTTTGCTGTATTCTCAATACACCACCACCACACCTTACTCGGCTTTTATTTTCGCAGTCATTGGTCGTAGCTATCATTTCCAATTACAAGAAGTGTTTTAAATGACGAAAATATTCATGTTTCTCAGTGTCAAAGTTTTAGAAAATATGATTTTGGACAAATAAGGAAATCGAACTTTTGATGCATTCTTCCGGTCCTTAACTTATATTTGGGAAAGTTGTATATTCGTTATGGAAACATAAAATTATAAGAAGTTTGACTCCTAGATGAGAATAACTGAACGAGATATTTAATTTCAAAATTTGCCATTTTTCATGTCATCTTCAAAGAGATCGGTTAATTCGAGGAAATAAGGTTATTAAATCTTATATATTTGATCTCTCCGTTATTAATTAACAAACTAAGTGATTTAAAAGTAATAAACACAGTTCTTAATATTTTTTTTCTTTTTGTTATTAAATTAGCAAACTAAACCATTTAAAAGGAATAGATGCAGCTCTTAAGAATATTTTTTTAACCTTTTAATCTGATTGATTTAAATAAAATTCCGTTTAATTCATTATACATCTAATTACACACAGTAAATATTTTTGTATACTTATATTACACGTTTTCATATTTTAAGTATGCATAAGATATATAACGTGCCCTTGTTAGTCTAAATGTATATTTATATAATATCCTATAAAATGTTTTGCTGTTTCACCTGGGCCATATCTGAGTATAATCTCTACTGATAAACCATGTTAATCTTTAAGAGAGCCTTTTGGGACGATCATTAAAATCTTAACCCTTTCAGATTTTTTTATTTTTCCTTTTTTAGCTCCTTAATACTCGTAATTTTATAACAGCTTATTTCATGAAAATGTTTTATTTATTTATTTTTTTTAACAAAGAAAATTTGATGATAATTCAGATTATTCCCATATGAATTTATGTTATAATATAGAAATAGGAACATTTGCTAGTTAAAGATACAAAATTATTTAAACTTCCGGGATATAATAAACAACAAATAAGCCTAAAATTCATAATTTTACGAGCCACAAGCAAAAATGTATTCTTAGAAGAAAGACGGATAAATATGCGGATTAATGGGATATATTCTTGGTGTATTCTCAGAAACATACAGAAAACAAGTAGGTAAACGGATATAAGTCATTGCTTATATTTGTTCTATTTATCTGAAAGGATCTAATAACGTAAATTGCACATGCGCAAATATTCTGGAAATTCCTAGAGTGGAATTTTGCTGTCTTTTAGCGACGCTGTCTGTGTTACCAACTTGTTCTATTCTCCGTGAAATTTACCAAGCTGTTTTTTAATCCACTACTTTGGGTGTTGAAAAGCTATTCATTTTTGAAGAAATGACTCTTGGAAAATATTTTCTGCCCTTTCTGCTGATGATGGGTTCTAAACCACCGAATTATCATAAGCCTGGAAATGTTATTCATCTAATAGCAAGAGGTTAGAATATTCGTTCATTTTTTTTTAAATGCGTATTCGATAAAATATTTAGCTTACACTTGAATTGTTTAATATCGTGTTTTCTCGTGCATTCTTACGTCCTTCCCCCTCTAATGTGTATATGTTGTAGATAGATTGGTATGTATTATCAAGTAGTACTATTCTAATTGATATTTTTGTATCAAAGAGGGCAGCATTTGATGTTATGCAAAGCAGGATAACCCATTTGTTACATGAGAAATGAATACAATCAAAAACGGTTACGTAGTCAATGTTTTGGATTCACAAAACAGGCCTTACTTCATCAACACCCTGTCTTGTCCTATGTAGATTTGCCATGACACAACACAGTCCTGTAAAACATTCGTAATCTCCTGGAAAATTGCATTTTTAAGGCTATTAACATTAGGTACACCACGAGTTAAAATTTGAACTTCGAGGAAGACCTAGACTTCGATGGATAGATGCTGTAGAGCAAAGTTTCTCAACTGGATTTACTCCAAGGACCGGTACGTTCTCGCGGACCGGTAAATTTAATAATTCGACCCATTGGCACAATTTTTTCATATAAACAAATATTAAACTAGTAAACTATTGTTATTGTAATATAGGTGCTGTTGTAATATCGGTTGTCGGCCGATGACACTTTGGATTTTGGACAGATAGCTGAATATTTCGTGGACCAGCAAACATTTCTTGCAGACCGGCGGTTAAGAAACACTGCTGTGGAGGAGGATTGTTTAATCCTTGAAACTAGGAATTGGAGGAGTTTGTTGCTAGTAGAGGTGTTGAAAACGTCTAGTTCAGAGGGCCTTGGCCCACCCTGGGCTGTCGCGCCACGGATGATGATGCTATACCCCCTTAAAGAAGTCTTCATTTCCGGAGAGTTTTTCGGTTTGGTGGCATACAGTAGCTCTCGTTGAGTTTCCCATGCTCTACAGCAACAGACCTAATGAGAATAATTTACAGAATACTCTACATCACTAATGGCAAATACACTACACGACAAATGCAAAATGCACTTAGAAGATGGCACCATTGCCTTAACAAAGATGGGCGACAGCTGCGAAGTATTCTGTTGAGGAAGTTAGGCCTGTTTTTTTTTTTTTTTTTTTTTTTTTTGTAAATCTAAGATATATCTACGGTATGTAACACTCAGTTGTATTTTTTGCTCCGGATAATAAATATAATCCTATTTTGAAAACTGGTAACGTTAAATGCTGCACCCTGTGTTATTTGTTCATTTATTTTAGAACACCTATTGTATATTCCTACTATATTTATTATAAGTCAGATTTTTAGTCTACAAACTCTTCTTTTGCAAGTAATTTTCGTTTATAACATTTCCCCCTTTTGCCAGTACTTATTTTACAATAGTATTACTCAGTCATAGAATTTGCAATAATTTTCATGAGATGTGATTTTAAGAGTTGTCCTGAAAGGTATCTTTTCCAATTTAAACTCCCTTTGAACAATTTAGTACGTTATGTTTATCATATGAAAAAAGCAATAAATTACAAACACGCAGAAAGTATAACACGCTACAAGTCTGTTAAAATTTTAGCTTCATTTTCAGTTTCAGTTTTGTTGATGTTATCATACGTAAAGTTTTAATAAGAAATGCATTGTGGATCGTAAGTTAATTTAACTTATAAATTCATAACTGCTACGAATTAACCAGCTACAGATTATGGAGTGGCTACACATAAGTTGACATAAAACTTGGTTTGAAAAAGTGCTTAATTCCACGTGCGGCAAAATACGCTCTGCCATGAAACAATATAAGCACCCAGAAAGAAACGAACTGCTATCACGGAACTTAACATGTATGTAGTGTATGAGGAGATGGACAAATAATTACAAATTCAGAACAAAAGATCGCTTTATATTAAGAAGTTTTAGCATGAAAAAGATTAAAAATTAGTAAGTAGTATAGCCACCTCTGGCAGCTATACAAACCGAAGCACGGCGGGACATTGGATCAAGTAGGTCACCTATGACCCCTTGTGAAAGATCATGCCATAAATTTTGCAACTGGGCAGTTAATTCACCAATATTCCTGGGAGGCTGCATTTGCCTTCCAAGCATGTTTCAAACATGGTCTATTGGCTAAGGAGTGGTGACCTGGAAGACCACAGGAATATGTCATATCCTTGAAGACATTGGTAGAGTCGCCCAGTATGTGGACGAGCTTTGGCTTGCTGAAAAATGGCATCTGGGCTTCTCGATAGCATATGTAGTACAGCCGGCGTTAAAGTGACGTCCACGTAACTGCGAGCCATCATAGTGCCTTGAAAGACGACTACAGGTGATCGTATGTCCCCAACGAATCGCTCCCCACACTGCCACACTTTATGTAATAGTCGTATGCCGCTCGACAGCAAAAACAGGATCAGACCACTGGCCTGGTCGCTTCCACACGCGTGTGCTTTGTTCATCAGCATTGAGATTGAATCGGGATTCATCGCTGAAGATCACACGTCTCCAGTCAGTCACACTTCAGCTTGCCCGAGTTCGACAAAAATCCAATCGACACTGCCTATCATGTGGAGTCAGTGGTAAGAGTCTTAATGGGCGTCGACCAGGTCTTTCCGAATGGCTTCCCTTGATACCACTGGATGCAAGAAGGTGGTTAATAACGTCAAGTCGATGCTAGTGACGTTATTTGTGCGGAAGTGATCGCTCTTATGATGGCGCGATCCTCCCGCTCATTAACGTTCCTGGAACGCCTTGATCTACCGCGACGGTAGACTATCCCATTCGTGATCGATTAATCGCCAACACATAGCAACTACCATATCGCTTCGACCGAAGATGGGGACCAATATGCCTGTTCGACCAACGTGCTTCTCTGAGGCCTACGATACGCCCCTTCTCAAAGTCCGACAACTGTTCGTATTGCTGTCGGTTACGTCTCAGAGGCATATCTAGTCAGAATACCGTCCATTCAAGTGGACGAATTTGTTTGAATAGCATTACGACACGAGCAATCATGCTTTTAAACTCTTTTAGCTGCGCATCTCATATGCGCATGGCGTCCTTAGTCCCATTGGCATCGAAATTTAAATCACTTGCATATCTCTTACAGACTAACATTCCTGCCGCGTTTTGTGATTATGCAGCAATTTCTTCCAGATACACATAATTTTTGTGACAGAGTGTATTAATATGCTGATAAGAAGATTATTTTTCGCTTCTTGCATTAAAGGAGTCTGCCAGCATACTTGAACAACACCTGCAGAAGAAGGACAGACTTCTGTCAAGAGATATTGCTTTAGACAATCGAAACATTTTCCTGCGATTTTTAGAAAGTTAAAATGAATTAAATTTATGATTAGAAAAACAAAATTTTAATTTGTTTACATTAAAGATAACATAAATACAGTGATAAAAACACTCGAGCTAATGATCAAAGAATTGTATAATAATATTTTAAGCCTTTTGCCACTTTTAGAAAGTTTTCTAACCGGAAATAATTTGAAAATAAATGAAAAATTAGCATCCGACATTAAAACTTGTTGTTTTTCACTGATAAATAATTTCAACATGTATTTTCCAGATGATTATGAAAAAGGACATTGGAAATTAGAAATACATTTTGTTTAAATAAACCTGAAATTTTTATCTCGAGAAGAAAAAGAACAACTGATAAAAATTGATCATAATAGAAATCTAACTGAATATTTGGAAAATAACATACACAACCTTTGACTGAACCAAAAAAAAGAACTGAAAGGCATTTCAAATAAAGCTATTAATTTTTTTTTTTTTTCCTTTTTTTGTACGTCCTATTTGTGTGAACAAGGATTTTCTTCCATGTTATATTTGAAAAATAAATAAAGAACAAAATTAAAATTGGGTCCTAATTTACGGTTCAAACTAAGTGAGATAAGAAAAATTAAAAATAAGAAATCATAAAGAAATTGATATCTCTTAAACAGGCCCAAATTCCACACTAAAATTTAGAATTAAAGCATTCTAATTTAAATTTTGGTAATTAAAATGGTAACCAATTTTTAATCTAATATATTTTTACGCGTGCATATTTAACACGAATAGAAAATAGGCTGTGCAAATGACAATATATATATATATATTTAAATTTTTCTACTGAGATATTAAAAAATAATCATTGTAGAATGTAGTGGTGGTAATGAAGTTTTCAATTTTCTTTAGAAGGTAGCTGTTAATCAAAAGGTTGAGAACAGCTATCTTATACTTTCCTGGGAGTATCTCGGTACCATCATCTCTAACGATAATAATATTAAACTTGAAACTGACAATAGATTATTTAGAGGTAATAGATGTTATTATGATTTAAAGAATTTTTCAGCGTCTAAATTATTAATCTTCAAGACAAAAATAAATGTTTATAAAATGCCATCATCTTGCGGTTTTGCAGCTGAAGATGATGGTTCGATAAAACCATCGAAACTAGTCCTGTGAAAAATTTTTGTAGGTATAACGCTGATTTTTGTTGTTTGACTTCTGAATTAGTATTTATTCGGCGTGTTATTGTGTTTATAAAATTGTTATTAGACCTATTATATTGTATGTTAGTGAATGTTGGCCATTAGCAAAAACAGATAAAGAAATACTTCTAATTTTTAAAAGAAAAATACTGCGAAAAATAAATGGCCCAACTAGAGAAAATAATAGATGGAGAAATTTGTTTAACCATGAAATATTTAGAAGATACAAACAGCCAAATATTGTCCGAGTCATCAAATCTTATCGTATCGGGTGACTTGGACATATTTTTAGATGTGACAACTTGAACGCTGTTAAAAAGGTGACTTTTGTAAATGTAGAGGGTACCAAGAAAAGATAAAGACCTCGCACAAGATGAATAGACTATGTCGGCAGATCTCAGGAGTATAAAAATCAATCGTTGGAAGACAGTAGCGACTAATCGGATCCGTTGGAGGAAGTTTGTTGAGATGGCCTTGGCCTGTGGCCTGTGATGGGCTGAAAGAACAAGAAAGTATTTAGGACAGGAA